TCTATGAAACAAAGCCTGTAAAATTTGCTGTAACTCAGAAATAAAAACTACTAAAAATCAAACCACAGTACATACGCTCTGTGAGATGTAGTAAAAGCTAGTAAGAGTAAGCTAGCTGGTGAGGTTGCTATGAATTATAATGGATCCTGCTGCTTTACTTGGCAAGTTCCACCCCACTGTGCTGTGATTGGCTAAAGCACAAAACGTTTGTCCAAATGTAGTGACCAAACGTTCAGAGAGAAGCGGCATTAAATCCTCGAAAAAATTGTATGTGCGGACACTGGAGGAGAGCCGACATGGGACCCCGCCAACCTCCCACCCTCCCTCTGGTTCTCTGGCGGAGCAGCAGGGCACAGCCTGGGTCAGTGGGGCCTGCTGGAGGCTGCTTAGGGGCTGTGAGATGGAGCCAGGTGGCTGAGAGTCAAACCAGGGCCTGTAGAGCATGTTGGAGAGCCAGAGGGAGGGTGGGAGATCTGTGGGGTCCTTGCACACGGCTGTGTGCCCACTGTTGGCTATCCACCAGTTTTCTCAGAGCCCTGGAGTTTGTGCCTCTTAACATGCTCTGTGGGCCTTGGCTCTTCTCTCACCCACTATGACAGCCTCTCCAGCCCCGGTAAAAGCTTTGTCGCTGTGGTCAAAATCGAAATCAGTCAGATCTTTGCCTCACGTGACCATGGCCACCTGGCCAGTCGTAGTGCTTCAGGGCTATGTAGGAGCCATAAAAAGAAGAAAATATACTTGATTGATTCCAACGGGGAAATTCAATTTTTTCACCTTGTTCGTTGTCATATACACACAAGCCTGAAATACACACACATGCACAAACAGGACCGATACATACACGGAGCGATGTCAGAGAGAGGGGGCTGCCTTGGACAGGTGCCATGAGCAGTTGGGGACTCAGTGCCTTGCTCAAGGGCACCTCAGCCGTGCCCAGCAGGCAAGCTGGCACCTCTTCAGCTACCAGTCAGTGCTCCATGCTTGGTCCATATGGATTTGAGCCGGCAATCCTCCAGTTCCCAAGCCAAGTCCCTATGGACTGAGCTGCTGCTGCCCCTGGCTCAGTTTCTAAAGCTAGTCTTGGCTAAAGCTATATTTCGTTATTAAAAAATATATCAATTTTGTTGAGCCAACATCTTGTTAATTCAGTTTGATGTTCTGCATAACTAAATGAGGCAGCTAAATTAATCATTGAGAAGAAAAAAACAAACAGTTAAACTAGTTATGCTAAACGCTAACCAGCCTCGCTTAGAGCAGCAATAAATGACATCTTAGCTTTTAACTCATGAAATTCATATGAAATGATGGTTAAGCCTTCTTAAATCAGATAATCACATGCATTATATCGTAAATCAATTTAATATGTTGATTTTAAAAAATATTAATAGATATAAATATATCAATATGTTTGTAGATACTACACTTGCCCCTAGCATTCTTCAAAGATTATCCAAAGGCAGAGTGTTGGGATCATGTTGGTCAATGCCAGGGGTCAGCAACCTTTACTATCAAAAGAGCCACTTTTGACCAAACATTAAAAGAAAAAATATAGATAACACAGCCTATTCAATTTTTAATTAGCATGTTAGCATTACTAATAGTTCTAAATGAGCCCACATCAATTTGTTTTACCACAAGATGGGTACGCTGAAGCGGACTATTTATAATTATTTGGTACTTTAATTTTGCAGCATAGGTGGTGAAAGCAAACAAATCTGCCCATGCACCAGGCCTGGAAATGAACGTTTTTGTTTACCTGCCACTGTGGCTGGTGGATTTCAGAATCTACCAGCCGCCCAATAGATCACCATTATTTTCTTGGCTGTTAAGTGACGCACATCCAGCAGGCACTTGCAAATTTTACCAGCATTTGGCTGGTGGCTGGTGCTAATTTCCAACACTGTCATGCACCATTAAATTCTCTATTTCCCTCTGAGACTTTTCCTTTTATGGATTTGGAATCTATAGCTAATCTAGCCAAGGCTAAACTCAAGACTAGCCACGACTATTGAGGTTTGGCAGAATCGAAAGGAAAAGGCAGAAGGCTGTATGATGCACTTTTAGAAGCCTAAATGAAAAAAAAAAACATTTTTTTTATTCAGGGTATAGGCTACAAAATTTTACAGTTGGAAAGTGAGAGAATTTCCTTTGGCCTACAAAAATGCTAAATGAAAATTAAAACCTACAGAATGACCCTATCATTTCTATATGATTTTTTTTTTTTGTCAGTGCCACAGGGAGCCACTGGAGAGTGGCATGTGGCTCCAGAGCTATGGGTTGTTGCCTACCCCTGGTCTATGCCTATGATGTCTGGGGTAAAATAATTATGCTAAAAATGTATAAAATATAAACATTACAACATTCATAATATATTACACACCGTCTCTTCTTTTTTTGTGAGCCTGTCCAGAGGATTTTGGAATTTGATATATCAATCACATTATGTTTAGTTATGTGGTACTGTAACTACTCCCTGCCCATTCCCAAAATATTATTGTGAAATGTATAATGATTTTCCTCGATGTATCCTGTATAAATGCAGGATAAATGCTCAAGATGTATCATTACAATTAAGGCATGTTGGTCTTAAAAACATGGAATCCTCTACATCTATCAGAATTAGACTGCTCGGGCATTTTGAATGATTTAGAAAATCTCTTTAGCAACAAGAAAGCCAAATCTGTTGTCTTATCTTGATTTCCACTGGCAGCTGTTAAAGTGAGCAGCCATGTGTGTCTGTGATCACCAGCCTCACACACAAAGCTTTGATCACTGTCAGGCTCGCTCCTGTCTGTACAAAGACTAATGACTTTTCAGCAGCATTAATGGGCACATAAAGGGACGACGGCCATCTACGTAAAGCAGCTACTTTAAAGCCACAGAGCCAAGGTTAACAGTCTGCGTCAAGCTGCGATCTGGCTCTTTGTAGGTGCGTCAGATTGATTGCAGATCACACACAGTCTGGTATTGAACTGGCTCAGATGGAGGCCACTTCTCTAGAGAGAAAAAACAAGAGAGCAGGGGGAAGCTTGAGCTACACTGAGCTGCACAGACATCTTGCATTATTGATTAGCCAGCTGGGGAATTCCAAGTTGAAGGAGGGCATGTGAAGGCTCCTGTGCCACAAATAAAACAACACACAAACTTCATGAATTCTCTTGTTTAGCTTGTACCAGAGGTGATGTTTGCACTCCTGAGATCAGAGCACTGCGGGGGAAATCATGGCTAATACCTGGGAACTGAAGGATTCACCTCCATTCTCATTACTGCTTCCCACTGATGCACTGAGGACATTAAACCTGTCAGTCACCTTTCCTGCCTCCCAGCGACAGCACTGTCTGCAGAGGCGAGCTTTGAAGGCTTGGGGACAACAAAGAAGAAACACCTCGCCTTCGAAAGGCACCTCGGGAGAGAGAGAAAGTCTGCACGAGCCTTCAAAGTGCGTGAGATGTGAGTTTTTATGCCAAATGTGACCGTGCAGAGTTATAATAAATTCAGAGTTAAAGGGCAGAGGAGGAGCGCTTGTTACCAATCAAAGAGTTCAAGCAAACGCCGTTTCTTTTTTTAATGGGCTTGTGGTTGCATCATTACTCAGTGGTTTGAGTCCTGCTGTGAGCTGCTTGTTATCATTTCCTTGGCTGCACCTGTTTGAATGCAATGTGTGAATCCTTTAGTTTGAAGCCTGATCTTCCCATTGTTCATTCAGCTCAGTCAGTGGATACAAGTGTGTTTACATGCTGCAGGTACTGGAAATTACATAAAAGACAGGCATAAAAAAAAAAGAATCCAGCAGGTAAAAAATAACAAACATCCAATGACAGTGGATTTAAACAGTAAAGTGAGCAGAGGTTCCTTTGAAGACTGTACCTACACAGACAATAACTTGGATAAAAAAAATGTGGGAAAAAAAAAAAAACACAAGTGAGTACTTAGGTTCTTCGACTATTCCTCTTTATTATTTTTTCTTCCATGTGTTATTGCTGTTATAGCTTCCAGCCCCATGTGATGTTGAGAAAAGCCTCTTTTCTGGGTGTTAAAAGCTTCGCCTGTGGCCATTTTACACCTGCACCTTTACACCACCTCTCTTCTCACACCTCGGCTTCTTTTCCTCTCGCGTCCTTTTAGTATCACTGCTACTTGTCGAAGGTTACACCTGGATTCAACTGAATAAAACACTTGTACTATAACTAGGGGTGACCCTGAATAGTGAACCATTTGACAGTTGAATCTAAGGAGCCTAATTTAACTCCCAATGTCACAGTCAAATCTTAATAGTTGCAGGAAAATGATGGCAGAATCAGCTGTTTGCAACTTGCTATCTCTTTTTCTCAAAGGGAATGTTAAAGGCTCTGTTTAATCCATGAAAAGCAAGCAGAAACAAAACAAACTGACGTATTCTGTCCGTCAATGGATCTCTTCCACTTCCTTTCAGTGCAACAGACAGCACAGCACCAACACATGCACCACGGACACATGACAAACAGAGCTGGATGGAAGATGTTCTATTGTTCAATAAATTCTTGACATTGTTTACTTGGATGTTTCAGCTCATTTGTTTGGTGTGTAAAAATGGAACCTAATGTCGCAAACAGAAATCTGCATCAACGAGCAAAACTAAAATAAAACTCGAATTACTGTCTCACAGTTTTATGCCTCAACGAACCACTCAAGTTGCAGTAAACATCCATGTCTGCCCAGACTCATATTTAGCCATGGCAGATGACAATCCTTAAATATGGATGCTGCTGCAAACAAGCTACAAATCCTAAAACATGGATGCTTCACATACATGTTAAACACTGCAGCACAAGAGATCTATACAATCAACATAGTTTCAAGGTGGACACCGAAGATTTGTGTCACCAGTTCCAGAAATGTTTATACAGAACATCATGTCACAACGGCCTTTGACCTTTGAACACCAAAATCTAATAGTTCAATCTTGAGTCCAAGTGAATGTTTGAGCTAAAATTGAAGAAATTCCCTCAAGGCCTTCTTGAGATATCAGCTTAATGAGAATGAGATGAACGCAAGGTCACAGTGACCTTGACCTTTGACTACCAAAATCTAATAAGTTCATTCTTATGTCCAAATGGGCGATTATGCCAAATTTGAGGAAATTCCCTCAAAGCCTTTTTAAAATATTATGCTCCAAAGAATGAGACCCACGCAAGGTCACAGTGACCTTGTCTTTTGACCAACAATAGCTAATCAGTTTAACGTTTGGCCAATTTTGAAGAAATTCCATCAAGGCATGCTTTAGATATTACGTTCCCAAGAATGGGATGGACGTATGGATGGACATCCTGAAAACAGGTGCATAATAAAACAACATGATTCGACTATCAGTTGAGGATAAGCAACATTTTACAAATCAGATTCGACTACGTAAATACTTAGTCGGGGACACCCCTAACAATAAAGCAGTAAAATCTGGCCACATGCAACAAAGAAACAGCTACATGCAACAAATGCTTGCTCTTATTATCTACCATTATTTTCTGGGATTACTCATCGCTTAATCTATAAAATGTCAGAAATCTCAGGACAAAAGCCAAAGATATTCAGTGAATATCCGAAAATCCAGTAAATATTTACCAAATATTTACATTTAAGAAGCTGAAACCTTTTTTTTGTCATTTCTGCCTTAAATCTATTTCAAATTATTAAATGATTGTTAAAATTGTTTTTAACAATTGATGGACTAACTGATTGATTGTTTGATTGATTGTTGTAGCTGTACAGTATACTGATATACGCTGATGAAGTTAAAACAGATATATTTACAATGTCAGCTTAATCTATCCTGACAGCTCTAAATGAAACTGATTTGCTGGTAAATCAGGATTTCTCAGAGTGAGAGGCAGAACAGAGAAAATCCACTTGGCAGGCTGTCTTTCTTCAACGTCCTCTGTGATTCCCCAATTATCTCCCCATTGAGTCTGAGGGTTCATTTTATAACACTCTCCCTATTCAGACAGGCGCAATCAAAGGCTGTAATAGCCGGTAGCTCAATTTTCGGAGTGCATGCTCTCTCCTTGTGCTGTTTCTCAAAACTGAAATATCTTAAATTCAGTGTTTTTGAAGGATTACAACCACTCTAGCGAATACAGCGTACAAAATCCATTCGGATATTCCACAAAATTTTCCCCCACTGCTTCAAAGCCTGCAAGTCTGAAAAAAACAAAATACAAGCAGCACGAAACATTCTAAAACCCACTCATCTCTAATAATAAAAAACATACCACACTGCCACAAATGTGTGTGCATAACCCAAAACACAACTACATCTGCTCACTTCTATCCTTCCTTTTTCCTTTATCTGACTTTCTTGTTCTTTCCTTCCTTCCCATCATTCAGTCAGGTGCTTTACAGAGGGCGAGGCTCTTCCCAACATCACCAGCATGTGCATGACTGCCACGATCATCCTGTGAAATCTGCGGAAAATGATATTTCCCACAATAGTTTGCACCACAGCAAAGCATCATACAAAATAATGTTTTAAGGTTGACTACTAGCAAAAATAAAAAGTCTATCCTCATTTTCTTTGAATTCTACGGTAACTTATGTGTGACTTTAACAGTGCAAGAATTGCTACATGTATTCTGCTTAACATTCTAGTCACTAAAAAGTAAATTAGATCATTAATTTCATTACAAAAATACTAAATCTGTCCATCGGCTAATAATTTATACAATAGATTATTTATCAGTAACTGGTATATGCTATGTCTGGACGAAATAATTAAAGGTCCTGAAATGGAACCCAGTGCAAACATAGGAGGGTCTGACAGTAAGTATTGCATTAAAAGCTGATTGGAGGACAGAGTGAAAGGTCTCCAAGGGCCCATGAGCTCATCCTCCTAACTCCGCTGTGGGACATTAGGGTCTTCCTGGTTGCTCTCCAGCAGCTCGTCCTCAGAGAAACTGATGTGAAGGCAGGTCTCATTCATAGGAGAGGAGAAGGGCAGTGGGTGCTCACAGGTGTCCGGATGTGAGGCGAGGGTGTGGGGTTCAGCAGACTCAGAGGAAGAGAGCACTGCTTCACTTCTCTCCTCCAGGGGACTGTCACAGCCGCTGGAGGCCGTTAAAAATGTCCCGCGGTCCCCGAACAGGTCGTCGTCATCGCGAAGCGGCGACAGCAGGGACTTGGTCTCGGAGCGGACACCAGAGTCCTCGCTGGCCGAGCAGGAGCTGCTCTCGCCGTTGCTGAGGGAGTGGAAATCAGCGGATGACAAGGAGCTCGGGGTGATGTCCGGGAATGAGAGGCTGCTGCTGCGGCTGGGGGCCCCGTCATTAGCGGTGACCTCTCCGTGTGGGGGCACAGCTGTGACTTCAGATCCTGGAGACAAAGTCCTGCTGGCCCGCTTGCGGTTCATGGAGGGTGGAGGGTCAATTTTGGGGATTATCTGTTTATACCTGCCAATGAAAGAACAGAGGCACTGGTTAGTGAAGTCTGACAAAACGCCTTAATTGGTTAACATGGTGAGAGTAGATCCATGAACACATTTGTCCTCATTTTGCTAATTTAAATTCAGCATAATCATTTCTTTCTACCAAGCAGGTGCAGAAGAATAAGCCTCAAGCCAGTTTTCCTCTCCATCAGTCACATTGTACCCCATTAACCTCACACGCACTGTGACGTAAGCTGTTACTAGACAAGACAGAAATACGCTTTCTCTCTGGCCCCCTGTTGTTTCGCCTGTCTAGGGACTTATCTGCATCCCACAGCTCCCCTGTTGAGAAAATAAAGAAACAGGGGGGAAGAAAGGGAGCCAAAGAAAAAAAAATTGTGGGGGTGGGGGGTGAGGGCTGCAGGCAACCCCCCCGCCCATACAGGCACCAGAAATAGCTACACTGCAGTCTCTCTGATTATGCCACAGAAATGCCACGACAAGCACCAGTGTGCACAACCACGCACAATCAGAGTCATTCTCTTGGAAAATGAGCCCTGACACACACCTGCTAACAAGCCTCGCTTCCTCCCTGACTCCTCCCAACAACATTGTACTGGTGGCTGCTAACTTTGTTCCCCCGTGAAATCCGGTCCTTAGTTGACTCCTGGTCTCAGTAATGAACTTGTGAGACATGCTGATGTATCTACTGTCTCTGCTTCTGTACCTCATTGGTGTTTACAGCTACGGTAACGACAGACTTGTTGTAATGGTGCAGGGAAACCATTTCCAGAGATAATTACCCACTGTTTCCCCCACTAACAAATAGAGAAGCACACACAGCACTGTGGGGTAAAAGTTGAGTTGAACTCCACTGACTCCAATGTCACAAGCTGTATAATTTGTTTATATTAGCCAGCAGCATGGCTCTAGGGATGGCAATGTGGTCAGCCTGTGGGTCCACAACAAAATTATCTCAACATCTACTGAATGGATTGCCATGAGATTTTGTACATTCACTGTCCCCACTGGATGAAACATACTGACATGGGTGATTACCTGACTTTTTCTTAAGTGACACCATGAGGCTGATGTTTTGGGATTTTTAGTGAAATGTTTAAAAAATTACTCCACATAAGTGAACCTTGGGACCTCATTAAAGGAAAGTAGGGAGATTGAGAAAGTCATTAGGATGAATCCTCTGGGAACCATGAATGTCTGTGTCAAAATTTGTGCCAATCGATCCAGTAGATATTTCACAGGATAACAGAAAACTTTAACCTGCTGAGGAAAATTGAGGGAATATTCAAAAACATTAGTATTCATCCTCTGGGAACCATGAATATCTGTACCAGATTTCATGTCCATTTATCCAGTAGTTTTTGAAACATGGACATGAAATCTGGTAAATATATCAAAAGTGCCCAGAGGATGAATCCTTATGTGTTTGTTGATTCCCCCAATTTTTCCTCTCGTGCCATCAGCAGGTCAAAGTTTACTGTTATCCTGTGAAACATCTAAACATCTCCTGGATGGCTTGACACAAAATTTGGTACAGACATTCATGGTGCCCAGAGGATGAATCCTAATAAATATCTGGATCCCCTGACTTTTCCTCTAGAGCCACCATAAGCCTCATATATGTGGTTTTAAGTGAAATGTTTCAAAAATTATAGGATTAACTGCCATGAACTTTTGTAACAACATTCATGCTCCCCTCAGGATACACTGACTTTGGTGATCACCTAAATGTTTCATCTAGCACCATCATCAGGTTGAATTTTTAATTTGTCCAATGCATTGTGTACATTGTGTTTTTGTTTTTGCAAGTTAGCAAATTTTAGCATGCTAATGTGCTGTGTTACATGCAATGCAGTATGTATGAATGTTTGGCAAAACACCAATGTATTTAACAGTAAAAAAATGTTAATTACATCTACAGTTTTTACAGCTCATTAAAAGTCTAAAAGACCCATTTCTGAGAGATGCGCTTTCCAAATTTGCAGAACAATTGCTAGATGATATAGTAGTCAGCCAACTAGCTGCTATGAGCAAAGATGCTACTTAATACAATAAAAAGCAGTGACATCAAGTAATATATTGGCTAAATATATTATAATATTACGAGGCAGAAAATTACATGTCCAAGCCTGCATGGAGATTTTTAATATTTTTTTAAATCTTAATTTATTGATTCCAATTGTACAAACTGCATACCTTATTCTCTGACTATGCTGTACATCTGTGCGTATCCATATTTTTGGCAATGGCACTGCTCAAATTTACAATTTTACAAACAACAAAATCTTTGTCTGGGAAAAAAGTTTTTGTTTAATTTGAGGAAATTACATTAGGGATGCCAAATGAGTGATAGAGTAGCCCTCCCTCATAAACAAAATGAAACACTTAGATACTTGTATTGTTTTTTCTTCTGGGTTGATCGTTTCTTTGTGGCTCACAAAGATAAACAGTCCAGTCTGATGTGTGATTCAGCTTTGGCTTCCTGTGCTGTTATTTCTGAATGTATCGGGTGCCAAGTTGTGGGGATGAATGTGCAGCTGGATCAAGGAGCAGGCTGGTCTCATTATCATAACTTTGACTAAGCACTCCTCTTTTCTGTCACATTAACACCCCTCTCCAACTTACTGCCCTCTCTCCCTCGACTGTGTCTTCTCTCCATTTTTCTACCTCTCCCTTAATTACTTTTATTTTTGTCTCTACATTTATCTCGCTCTAGACTCATTCCGCCTACCTGTCATGCATCTCAGCTGCTGGTGTCCTTTTCCTTTGGCCTTTCTTTTCTAGTCAATTTTATTTGGAAACTATATGGCAAACAAGGAACAAAGAACTGTCTGGCTTTAACAATTCATACCATATTTGTGTAATTTTGGATGTCTGATTTGATGTATTGGTGATTGTGAGGATTAAATGCAGAAGCTGATTTTCTTTGCATATGATCCTTATAATGGTACAATATTAGAGATACTGGATCCCTTGCAGTTAATAGAAAAGGGTAAATTATGCTGCTTATTTGACACTCAACTCATCAGTTCAACATCCCTATCTTACTGTAGTCACACAGACCGAGAAAAAGGCTAAGGACTGGGATCTGTGATATGGCCCACAGTGCATAAATCTTTCAGAGCTCATTATACCATGGTGTTGCACTCACTAACACAGTTATCACACTATAGGAGATTATTAGGAGCTTGATGAAGTAAAACCATTTACGACAGCTCACATACACTTCATATTCCTGCTGAAGAAGAATATCTGAATGCTGTGTTCTTCTTATCCATTGAGACAGCAACTGGTTACAGTTCATGTCAGCGTGGAAAGAAAATTACCTTGTAGAGACTTGAAATTTACTTGTGATACTGTAGGTTATCTATCACAGTGACAAATTCATTGGGTTTTCTATTTCAAAGTAAGATAATCTTTTTGTGGTAATGCAAAACAGATTATTTCACGTCTTCTAAATTGGTGTATTTAATTGTGGTTGAGAAGCTCTGACATCAGGGGCTAATCTCTGTCATGTATACATTTCCTTTTAAACATGATTCTTGTTTGCTTATTGTTTGTTATCCATGTTTTTGTTCATTTACTTATACTGTTGTCATGAATTATCTATAGATCATTAGCTACACAGACCAAAAGTGTTTTTTTTTTTTGCACCAGGTTGTAAACATTTTTATTTCTGTTGTAAAGCTGGACATTTTCACATGGGAGTCTATAAGGATTCACAAGTGCTTGGCGCCAGCTAGGGCTGGGAATCTCCAGGCAACTCACGATTTAATTACAATTCAGAGAAATACATCACCATCTTCGATGGACTGTAAAACAATTATTAATACATATTGATGCATCAATTTTTTTGTTTTTGATTGTGTGCCAACTTGCTTCTTTTAAAAGCATAGCAAAATGTATTTTCAGTGATCCATAATTAACCCACTGAAACTTGGAGTGACATCACTTTTCTTTTCAGATGCCTTTCAAGTATTTAAATCTTTGACTTTTGAGCAAATTGGTGTAATTTCTTTCAAAAACATGGGAAAAAGGCAATGAGTAACTTCGTAAGAAAGGCAAGAAAAATATAATAGATTATTATTATTATAGAAATTATTTTAAAAACCGAGGGAAAAACTATTTACCAACTATTACTTAAGCTATTTTTCAACTACGTATAATTATTTTTATCATTACACTTTAAAATTATGGAACAGAATTATTCTAATTTGTAGGCATCTTTTCCAGGTCATTTCCTTGTCTGTTTTTAATACTAATTTTCTTGTTTTTAATTTTTTTTTTCTAATTTCTTGCAAATTTGGGGTCATTTCTTCTTAAGTTGCTCATTGCCTTCTTCCCATGTTTTTAAAAGAAATCAAGCCAATTTGCTCAGGTTTCAAAGGGTTGAATTTACTATTTACTACACATGAATTTACATGCATGCAATGTGGCTCTTGTACATGTCCCTTCAATCATATAGCCAAAATACCTCCACACACTAACTTTTAAACCAGTCATATTGTATCTATTTTTGGTTGCTTACGCTAACCCATTCATGCCAGCGTAGTATCCAGGGTTTACATATGGTGATATTTCAATGGAAATAGTATACAATTTAGGTACTGTTGAAAAATAATTAGTTTGCCGCCTTTTTATTTTAAAAAGTTAACGACATTGATTAGTACATTTATTAATTTGAAAGCAGATAATAGTCTCCTGCCTGTATGATCATTAAAAAAATGAGGGGGAGGCAGTATGCTCAGTAGCTCCACTGTGTTGTTTAATGTCCACTGCACATTAGCTCTGGGCAAAGCCACAATGCTGAACGGGCCAGGCGCAGGGTTTTTATTATTTTTTTAAACACAGAGTTGGTTTAAGTTGTTTAAGGCTGCAGTGTGTATTGGTCACCCAGTCTCATTTGTTTATGTTGCTGCTGATCACTGCTCCACTCCTTTAACGTTAGTCTCTGGGTGATGGCCTAAAAAGTACTCACAATATACTTCACGTTTGCCTCACAAA